TTATTTATTTTTTCATGTCTGACGTTAACCGCATCTAATACTGTATTACGGCGTGAGCGCAACAGCGACAACTTAAGATCGATGTGTGAGCAGCCTGAGAGGTCGGGTATTTCATCTGAACCCTTAAAACCTCCAGCAGGCTACGCTGCACTATTGACGTGTTAGCGCGCGGCGCTAACTACTTAGTGACGTGACATGTCTCGGAGAAAGCGTAAAACCACGTTGGACGCTTCTTCTGAAGCGGGAAAATAACGCTTCTTAAGCAGAGCACGACGTTGCCTCGGCTCGTACCGGACTGAGCTCGATAACATTGACCCAGCACAACCACTGGGTCGTTGGAGCTGCCCCGTGACTGCCTGATGGAAAACCAGTGGGTTTCATCAGACTCGTAAAGTTTCTTGTTTTTGCTGGGGACCCGCTGTATTTTACCGCTCCCTCCTGCAGTCTTCCCCTATTAAAATTTAAAATGATTCTGTAAATTCGTGTATCAATAGAAAAAATCTCTGCCTCTGCCAGCTGCAGTAAATGTAGTCTCCAAATAATAAATAAGAGGTGCATTCATCTGTGGATCTCCTTTGATCTGCATTAGTGATATTTTCAGCACCAGAACAGTGAAGCAACAGATTCCTGAGTTTGTTAGTAATTTTATTTATTAGGTGCATCTGACCTGTTCTATTTTTCTCTGAAATGAGATCAAATCAGTGCTTCTATGGGTTGTCTCCACTCTGCACTGGAAAATTTTACTTTATTTAGAGACGTGTCATAATTTCTCTTTATTATCATTATTTATTGTGGCAGAAGCTGGTGTGGTCCACCACAGAGAAGCTGCTCTAGCATGATGACTTTTATTATTCTACAGGTTATTGTTCAGCCTTCTGACGCACACACACACACACACACACACACACACACACACACACACACACACACACACACACACACACACGGGTGTGGGTGAGCGGCTGCGTCTGACTGCTGACGTTCCGTGTGTGTTTTTATTTCTGCAGTGAGACAAACTCTCCTCACACCGTCCAGAGTTTGTTCTTTAAGCTGCTATTAAATCCACCGTGTTGACGTATTTAACACATTTCCTCTACGCTGCAGGAGTTACACTTTACATCACGGAGTAAAAGTTCCGCAGACGCGTTTGTTTATATCGGGGGGGGGGGGGGACTCAGTGCTGCACACAGACAGCTGATGTGACCAGCTCTGGAAATCGTTGATTCCTCTTCCGGTCGGCATTCTAGGAATCTAAACTAGGAATCGAAATAAAAAACTTTGAACGATTCTGGGAAAAACTAACAGTTGGAACCGGTTCCAATCGATGCCTAACCCCACTTTTGATGCAGCTTTGAATCTCATTCCTAAGCAGTTTCAGTCTAGGTCACACCTTCCTGCATCTAATCAACACAACCACTCCCTCTCAATAGAGGCTAACGACTCATCAGGGGGTAGAGAGAAGGGGTACTCAGAGTAGTTTCTGCTCGTTGAATAACAACAGACAGCTACATCTTATTAATTTGACTCTCCGATATTCATGTTAGAACTGACAAAGCTCCACGGATGAGAAGTGAAACGTCCAGTTGCCTTCAATTGGACCCTTGGATTATAGTTCATTATCAACTTAAAACAATTTAGGTTCATTTATTTAATAGCTTTTAAAATCGTTTTTATGTGCTAAACAAATGTAAGCTGACCACTAGTGGGCAGCAGTGTGAAATGTAAATCCCTCTATCGTGGTTCGATACCTCATGTTAAACATGTTAAGTATCAGACTGGACTGTTTATTGAATATTCCTACAATAACTTTAGTTTAAAAATCGCTAACATCGTCTGGCTGAATGCAGTCATTGTATCATCTCTCCTGTATCGTGATACGCATCATATCGCCAACATTTCACCAGTACACATCCCTACCCTCCATGATTATGGGAAATGTCCGTCCTCTCCCGAATACAACCTGACCTAAAGCGATGCATGATATATTGTAGTGTAATGCCTTTTACATGGGCAGTTCTGAAGGCAAAGGTTCAACCCAGTACTAGCAAGGTGTACCCAATGAAGTGGCCAGTGAGTGTATATGTTATTGTAAAGCACAGGTCACACAACAGTACGCCTCCTCCTGCACCAGGTGTGGTGGTTTGGGACAGTCCTGGGAAGAGGGCGAAGTCGGGATCCCAGTAGATCACACAGCCACGTGGGGAATGACCAGGAGTTCAAGTCTGTCATCATAGACTTTGTGGACTGGTGTGAGCTTAACCACCTTCGCGTGAACACCAGTGAGGCAAAGAAAATGGTGACAGGCTGCTCTAAAAAACCCGGTCTTGACCCGTCTCTCCATAGCAGCGTCAGAACCATCCCTCCCACCTTACCCATGGTGTCCCACAAGGTTCTGTGCTGGGGCCTCTGCTCTTCCTCCTCTATCTGCTTCCTCTTCAGCACATCTTGAGCTCCTTCAAAGAAATCTCCTACCATCTTTATGCAGATGACATCCAACTGTACATCTCCTTTAAGCCCCATGAGATGTCTAAGCTGCAGCTGTTCCACACCTGCTTAGACTCTATCAAAACCTGGATGTGGGAGCTTTCTTCAGCTGAATGAAGATAAGACTGAGATCCTCATCTGTGCCCCAGACAAGCTGGTTCCCAAAGTCAGAGACTCTCTTGGTCAGCTTGCTTCCCACACCAAACCTTCTGTCAGGAATCTTGGCGTGACCTTTGACCCAGCTCTCACCCTGGATTCTCATGTCAGTTCTCTTGTTGGCTCTTCCTTCTTCCATCTCAGGAACGTTGGTAAGCTGAGTCCCATTCTGTCCCGCTCTGAACTTGAGACAGTTCTCCACACCTTCATCTCCTCACGCTTAGACTACTGTAACTCTCTTTTCACGTGTCCGAGCAGAACCTCCCTGAACCGTCTACAGGTGGTTCAGAACGCCTGTGCTCGGCTTCTGACCAAGTCCTCCAAACACACCCACATCACCCCGCTTCTCCTCCAGCTTCACTGGCTGCCAGTCACCTTCAGGGTTCATTTCAAGATCCTGGTTCTGGTCTATAGGGCCTTACATGGACAAGCACCATCTTACATTGGTGATCTTCTTAGTCCCTACACCCCCAGCAGGTCCCTGAGGTCCAGTGACCAAAGCCTCCTGGTTGTGCAGCACTAGGGATGCACCGATGGATCGGCATTTGATCCCAATCGGCCGATAGCGCCCCTATCGGTTTTGATCGGAGTTTTCAAAATAGATCAAAGCAGACCGATCAGGTAGGGTTGTCACGGTAACCGGTGTAGCGGTAAACCCCGGTAAAAAAAAAAAGTTGACAATAATAATAACCGTCTTGTTTTAAAAAAAACTACATTATCTCGGTGGATTACCGTGGCTGCGGTGTAGGCGCGGTGACCCTTACCAGCCACCGTATCATCTGCTGAAGTTGCCGGCGGCACATGCGCACTTTGTTGTTTACAACCAAAACTTTCTTGAAGCTAAAGCTGAAATAATGGTCAAAGGAGGAGACAGCAGCGCTCAGGAGGACATTTATTATCCCTCAAAGAAGACAAAGTGGGAAGTACGGGCATCTTTTGGATATCTGAAGAATGTCGAGGGACAGCTGATAGAAGACGGCTATCCTGTTTGCAGCACGAGCAGAAAAAGTGTCTGTGAAAGGCAGCAACGCTTCAAATCTCATGACACATCTGCGTGACCATCACCCACAACTCTACAGTCAACGCAAGGCAAGCTAACGTTAGCGTTTTAGCTAAAATGCATGATCCGAGGATTTGGGTTGAGGGAGAATGCAACGAGTCGCTATATAAAGCAGCCGCAGCGCCGCTACCTGCATATAAACCGTGTCGCGGACGCCGCCATGTTGAAATGACGCTATGCATTACGGGGCTCCCAGGGGCAGATAAGAGTTGGTCTCTCTCCGAGAATAATTATGAATTTAACAACGATTACTGCCTGATGACGTTTTCCCACATCTGCAAAGCTCACTGGAAGGACACAAACCGAGGACAATATTTTCCTGATATAGGGTTTATTACTCAAGTAAGGGTAAAAAAGTATCTGATTAGAAGGCTACTTGAGTACTGAGTATCATCTGAACTAATATTTTTAAAATGATGACATCACACAGACAAACAATAAGAAGTTATGGGCAAATATTGGTATTTTAAAGACTAAAGGGGAAAAATGTAAACAAATAAACAACATAATTACAAAATAACACATTTTAGGCAAAATTTAGACACAAACTCAGGACAAATTTCCTGACATACAGGGTTTATTTAATTGTGTGAAAATGTAGCACGTTAAAAAAAATACAGCGATAATACCGAACACCGTGATAATTTTGGTCACAATAACCGTGAGGTTACATTTTCACACCGTGACGACCCTAATACAGTGATCCCTCGCTACTTCGCGGTTCGTTTATCGCGTATTCACGACTTCACAGCTTTTTTCTTTGGAGCCTTATTCAAGGGAAATTCGCCGATTCGCGTTATTTTTCTATGCGAAATATCAAGAAATAGAAGAAATTCCAGTTTTTTTCCTCAATTTCATCATAAAATGCACTTTTGTTAATTTGAAACTAGCATGTAAGATGGGCTGTGATTTGTTCCATTGGTGATAGATGATGAATCAGCTCCCAAGTTTTGTAATGTCGCCTGTGATTGGTGTTTTGACCTTTTCTCCGACCCCCAACAGCTTCCCTGGTCTCGGAGCCTCGGGCATCTTCTAGCGATCCTCGTTCACGTTCTCGCGCTCTCTCCGTACGTAGATGTTTATATTAGCAGTGTGTGTTTGAAATTGAACTCTTTTTTGAACTTGTTTAACCCCTACAACGGCTCCCAAGCGTTCTGCTTCTGCTAAGGCTGCTACTGAGCCTAAACGCAAACGAATTCGCCGATTTGCGTTATTTTTCACCGATTCGTGTTATTTTTCTATGCGAAATATCAAGAAATCCCTGTTTTTTTCATCAATTTCATCATAAAATGCACTTTTTGTAATTAAACTATAAAAAAACCAAGTAAAAGTTTTTTTTCTTGAGTTTTACCCACAAAAAGAGAATGTGATCATACGATAATTCAATATAGTACTGTACTGTAAATATGGTGTCCCTTCTTCGTGGATTTTCACCTATCGCGGCCAGGTCTGGAACGCATCTACCGCGATAAACGAGGGATCACTGTACAGACCATTTTAGATTAGGTTACATTTCCTTTATTTCCAGATTATGTAGTTTGTAGCACTCATTACAATGTTGTAGAAAATTTCTGGCCAATCCACGTGATCGGTATTGGTGATCGGTATCGGTGATCAGCATTCTTTGATATCCGTATCGGTGATCGGCAGCAAAAAACCTGATCGGTGCATCCCTATGCAGCACCAGGCTAAAGGTCAAAGGTGACAGATCATCTGCTGCTGTGGCCCCCAGACTCTGGACCTCTCTCCCCCTGAGCCTGAGATCAGTGGACTCAGTGGTCTCCTTTAAAAAGCAGCTGAAGACTCACTTGTTCAAGCAGGCTTTTGTATGACCTTCTTCACCTCTCTCTCTTTATTCTGCTCTCCCCACCTATTCCACCTTCCTCAGGATCCACTGGTTTCCCTCCTTCCTGTTCACTCTCTCTCTTTCTTTATATTTTTAATCCAATTGTCTATTTTTTGCTCATTTTAAACATATTTTAATCATTTTCTAAATTTTTTTTTCTTTTTTAAATTTTTTGTTTTTGTGAAGTGCCTTGTAATTTTTTTTCTTGAGAGGCGCTATAGAAATGATATTTTCTTCTACTTTAAGTGTTGTTGCTGCTGTAAATGAGTCAATTTCTCCAATGTGGGATTAATAAAGTCTTTTCTATTCTATTCTATTCTAAATACAGCATTCTAGCGGCAGAGGCCAAGACGCAGATCTGGAGCCAACAGACCAAACTCTCAGCTTGCAGAGAGAAGGTAAAAGGTTGTTCACTGTGTTTTTAGGGGTGGACTGGCCAACTGTGAGTTCTGGAGAATCCCAACAAGTGCTCTAGGGTTGCTGGGTGTGCTCCAGGCCGGTGATGGGGCAACCCCCAAAGTTGCAGATGACTGAAAACATTTTAGGATAAATAACACAGTTATTATTATTCACCTTGCCAAGCAACGCTGTTGGAGTTTTCTCTGCAGCTGTTTTCTGTGCAGAACCTGAAGCTTGGTTCTGTTTCTCTGAGCTTCCAGCAGCAGCAGCAGAAGGAGAAGGAGAAGGCCTTCCTTCAACAGCTGCACCAAAGTTCGGACTGCCAGGAGCTGCTCCTGGTCGCCTGCTGACCATTGCTGCATCGTTAGCGACTATTAAGGAGTTGTGGAAGGGAGTCACCATCAATCTGGGCCTCTGACCAATCTTAGCTCCTGGTTCCTCACAACCAGTGGAGGCACCAGCAACTGGACTGAAGGATCCTCTTCCCAGTGCAGGATCCCGACTCTGGTCCATCACTGTAAAGAGAATTATTTCAGTTTCTTTTTTATCTAATAAACAGAAACATTGTAATCATCAACAGTAATAAGGGTAGGTTATTTAGTCACTTTCCACACTGTGAGCAAGCTCCTATTTTGCCCTTCTTCCTCCCCCGGTGAAGGTCTGATTCAAAGAAAGTTGACAGAATGAGGGCACAACACAATGGCAGCAGACGAGGCACATCAAAACACAAGTTCCCCTGGGCAGAATAACGTATTTCTGTAAAACATTATGCGTCCATTATTGAAAGTTTTGACCTCTACACACATTCTGAATCTCAGAGTTCAATGAGATGTTTCCCAGACAGCGTCAATGCTTGTGTAGTGGGGTTGGGGACTCTGGACCTCTGGGCTTATATAGCAGCTCTTTTTAGTTTTATTGCAGGACTGTCGTCCAGGTTTTCTTCAAATGAATAATAAATTAACTAAGTGGTCTGGAACAACAGCAATATGTATCTGGAAATAACTTCTCGATGATAGATGTGGCACAGAAGTTAAGTGCTCATCCCGTAATCGGAAGGTTGCAGGTTTGAGCCCCGCTCAGTTTGTCACTGTCGTTGTGTCCTTGGGCAAGATACTTAAGCCCCCTTGCCTGCTGGTGGTGGTCAGAGGGACCGGTGGCACCAGTGCTCGGCAGCCTCACCTCTGTCAGTGCGCCCCAGGGCAGCTGTGGCTACATCGTAGCTCATCCCCACCAGTGTGTGAATGTGTGTGTGAATGGGTGAATGGCTGATTGTGTTGTAAAGCGCCTTGGGGGGTTCCAGGACTCTAGAAGGCGCTATATCAAATACAGGCCATTTACCATAGACAACGTTGATTCTATGAAGCATGGTTGTTTTTGTCTGATCTCGCCTGCTGCGGCCCGTATTTATGTCTGTGGCTGCAGCTCCTGTTGCTGCTTGCTGAAATTTTGCTCGAGGCGCATGTGCATAGTGGCCATCCTGGTCAGCCGCTGTTTTCTGCTCAAGAAACAGTAACGGCCATCCAGGTGATCCGCCGCCTCACTGGGAAAAACAAAACATGGCGAGCCAGCAACGGAGCTCGAAGGTTTGGGAGCATTTTACAAAGATAAAAGTGCAAAATCTGCAAAGTTAACTCTTCTTTCACAGGAGCACAACAGTGATGCAACACCTTGCATTAAACACATGTTGAAGCCCTTATATTGTAACCCGTCTAAACTTCATATTTTCATTTAAAAAAGGAAGATATTTGAGAAAAAGGTGCTTTTAATGTTTCAACAAGGCTCTCCTAGCTCATCCGTCTAAAAGCAGTGCCTCTTGCTGGAAAGCGGAAGTGACGTTGCTCAAGGAAAATGTTATTTTTCTCTTATCTCCCAGGGGCAGATAAGAGTTGGTCTCTCTCCGAGAATAATTATGAATTTAACAACGATTACTGCCTGATGACATTTTCCCACATCTGCAAAGCTCACTGGAAGGACACAAACCGAGGACAATATTTTCCTGATATAGGGTTTATTACTCAAGTAAGGGTAAAAAAGTATCTGATTAGAAGGCTACTTGAGTACTGAGTATCATCTGGTCTAATACTTTTAAATGATGACATCAAACAGACAAAAATAAGAAGTTATTGGCAAATATTGGTATTTTAAAATCTAAAGGGGAAAAATGTAAACATACTCATAAAACAATGTGTCTTAGCTCCGTTTGTCGGCTACAGACGCACATTTATAAACAAGAAACGTGAAGTCGCCATCTAAAAAAATGGAAGGAGAAACTATTTGTGTGATGTGCCTGTCAGCCACGATGGTGCCATCATACATGAGAAATACTCCGGAAAGAGACTTTAACAGGCCAACTCCATGCACGCACGGGAAGAACATGCTAACCCAACATTCCAACTTCATGCATGCATAGAAAGAATATGCGAACTACACGTGATAACTCCATGCATGCAAGAGAAGAACATACTAACCTAACATGCCAATTCTATGCATCCATGGGAAAAATATGCTAAATCTAAGCATGCATTGGGAGAACATGCAAACTCATGAAGGCCACAGATGGAATTCAACCCTGCAACAATGCAGGTTCTTTTCATGGTGAATATTTGGAGTTGACCTCAAAAGACACTGGAGGTTTGACCCAACCTTGCAGACAGCAATGCTGTAGTTGGACATTGTTGTTGTGTGTGATTTCCTTTTTAAACAGAGAAGCTACACAAAGGTATTCATTCATCTTCTGAAGCACTTATTTCTGTAATGGCTGCATGGAGTGTTTGCCCATCTCCAGCTGTCTATTTTAATTCCATCTCGGTAGTGTTGATGTATTTTAGGATATACAACTATACACGTGCACTCTGAAGTCAGAATGCTGTTGGACACACAGCTAAGCAGGTGTGCATGGCAGCGGACAAATCCAGTTAAAAGTTTAAAACACTTTATTCAAAATTCAAGCACTTTTCCAACTCTGGAGAAGGGGTAGACCGACATATCGGTCGACTGACAAATTGTTTTTATACATCAACACTGGCCGATATCTGTCCTTAACACAGCTAATTTAAAACCAGGCACATCCTCGGGCAGCCTGGTGCTGTTGCAGAATTTAATTTTTATGTTCACTAATAACATCTGCATAGTAAGTCATTTAAATGTTTTTTATTTTATTTGGGTGTCTCTCACTGAGCAGTGCACACAGTTAAGATTGAACTGTTAAATTCACAGTTCAAAAACTGATTCAGCTTCAGATTTTTTGTGCATCAACCAATATTTATAGTAGCATTTTGTCCCTAAAATGCATAACGTCCGTCAGCTGGCCATGTCTTCTACATATCACCAGGGCTTGGGTAACGGCAATATCAGTCGACCTCTACTCTGGGGTCAAGGTACTCGTAATCCAGGTTTAAAACCAAGAAAAACACAACTTAATCCCCTAATGATAGGAAGAAACCTTTAAACTAGTAAAGGAAGCCTTTTCTATCTGCTGTGTGTCCAGTAGAAACAAACGCGTTGTTCTGTCGCTGATTACAACAATCAGCCAACAGTCACGGACTGCTTTAAGCCGGACAGTATCTACCCTCGACCACGATTCCAGACGCGGCGCAACAACAAGTTTCAATCCGCCATCTTTGTTTGGATTCGGAGCAACTTTGGAACTAAGTTAACAAAACTTGTTGTCTTTCGGAGAACGGGATATGTTTTCGGCCAGGAACAAATAAGAGTCCTGTACAAACCCTAAGAACACCTGCGAGTGTTCCCAGATCACTTCCTACAGTTTATCATCTGAGCTGAAGCGTGAGGGAAGTCAGCGCTGGACGCTCTTTGTGTTTTCGCGTCACATGGGTTAAAGGTCAGCAAGAGGCGCTCACAGAAACAACTAACTACTCAACCAACCAGGTTAGGAACACCAACAGAGGTTACAGAAGTAACGTTTCATCCTACCTGCTGCAGTCGTTGTAGCTTTGTGTCCACACGTAGAAGGAAGAAGCTGCAGACACTAGCAATCAACTTCCGCTCCACGCGTCACGTGATCTGTACGCACTAGCCCTTTTTTTAAACAATCTTTATTGACACATTTGCATTAGACAAGACATAACATATGGACAAAACAACATCGATGTACAGGGTGTGACACATTGGCAAACAGAGAAGAAAGAGAAAAAAATGTTAATAAATAAAAATAAACATAAATAATCGTACACGAATAAATAAAATTCCACTAATACATTACCTTGTAATATGGGGCATAATAGAATTAATCAAATTGCATATTTTCACAGCTTTCTTGTCTTTACTAATTCTACGTACAGAGTCATAAAAAAATTAAGATCAGTATAAAATAGTTACATTTGGTATAGCCTGTAGAAATCTTACTTTATGAATGTGAAATTTACCCAACAGACACAGCAATGTTATTACACCGTTAACTTCCTTGTTACATTTAACGTTTAACAATAAGACCATACTTCCATTAAAAGTAATCAATATTTTATGAGAATCCCAAACTAATGAAGACAATTGATTCCAAAACCGTACAACTAAAGGACAACCATAGAACAAATGAGTAAGAGACTCAACACCTGCTTTGCAAAAGGAACATAAAGGGGACACATCAGGTCTAAATCTATTAATAAATTCATTACATGGATAATATCTATTTAAGATTTTCATTTCTTTAACTTTATTGGGGAAAAAAATTTCTGAACCTCAGAAAAGGCATTGCAGCTGATGTCAGGAAACATTACCCTCCAACGATGTAATGAGTTTGGAACCTGACTATGTAGAGAGGTGAAAACTGCTCTAATGTGAGCATTGTTACATGAGCGCTTTTCAAGAAGCTTTCCACCAAGACACAGTGCAGGAATCCTTCCTGTGTAAGGTGTACACTGACCAGGAGCTCTGACAAGAGACAGTAAATGAACAGGAATACCTTGGAGAATTCTAGAGTGCATAGCGAGATGTGTTTAACCCCTTTCGCTGGATGAATTCATCATAGGTAGCTAGGTCCCCGTTACCATTCAAAAGATAAAACACACATAACACCTTGATCATACCAGTCTTTGTAAAACAGAGTCTTGTTCTTGTGAGCAATATGTTGATTGTTCCATAAAGTACATGTGTGAGGGGAAAAGTTGTGTTTGAAAGCCATTTTCCAAGTGTCCAGGGCTTGTTTGTGAAAGTTGGCCAGTTTAACAGGCAGTGTACCTGAAGTTGCATGAAAGCGTGAACTTTAAGCCGCCACATTTGTTAAACAAAAAAAAGTCGGGAATAAAAAAAAACACGGTTCATTATGTGAAAGACAATGTTTTAACCAATTAATTTTGAATATATTGTTGATAGTTTGGAAATCCAATACATTAAGACCCCCCTCTGAAATCTGTCTAATAAGTGTTTTCCTCTTTACGTATTCATTTTTATGTTTCCAAATAAACTTAAATAGGTTTTGCCATCAACATATAAAGATAAAGCTAGGTATACTAACCTGGATAATCCTTCAGCCTTGGAGAGTAAAACACAACCTATAATGGTAAGATCCCTCCGTCATGTTGTGGTGTAGAAATCTAACCCACGACATACAGAATCAGCATAGAAGAAGAAGAAGAAAATATCATTTCTATAGCGCCTCTCAAGATAAAAATCACGAGGCGCTTCACAAAAACAAAAAATAAAAAAAATTGTAAAAATATAAAAAAGCATTTCGAAAATATTTAAAATATATTTAAAATGAGCAAGAATAAGCTATTGCGATTAAAAAGAAAAAATGTTAGAAAGAGAGAGAGTGAACAGGAAAGAGGGAAATCAGTGGATCCTGAGGAAGGTGGAATAGGTGGGGAGAGCAGAATAAAGAGAGAGAGGTGAAGAAGGTCATCCAAAAGCCAGCTTGAACAAGTGAGTCTTCAGCTGCTTTTTAAAGGAGACCACTGAGTCCACTGATCTCAGGCTCAGGGGGAGAGAGGTCCAGAGTCTGGGGGCCACAGCAGCAGATGATCTGTCACCTTTGACCTTTAGCCTGGTGCTGCACAACCAGTAGGCTTTGATCACTGGACCTCAGGGACCTGCTGGGGGTGTAGGGACTAAGAAGATCACCAATGTAAGATGGTGCTTGTCCATGTAAGGCCCTATAGACCAGAACCAGGATCTTGAAATGAACCCTGAAGTTGACTGGCAGCCAGTGAAGCTGGAGGAGAAGCGGGGTGATGTGGGTGTGTTTGGAGGACTTGGTCAGAAGCCGAGCACAGGCGTTCTGAACCACCTGCAGACGGTTCAGGGAGGTTCTGCTCAGACACGTGAAAAGAGAGTTACAGTAGTCTAAGCGTGAGGAGATGAAGGTGTGGAGAACTGTCTCAAGTTCAGAGCGGGACAGAATGGGACTCAGCTTAGCAACGTTCCTGAGATGGAAGAAGGAAGAGCGAACAAGAGAACTGACATGAGAATCCAGGGTGAGAGCTGGGTCAAAGGTCACACCAAGATTCCTGACAGAAGGTTTGGTGTGGGAAGCAAGCTGACCAAGAGAGTCTCTGACTTTGGGAACCAGCTTGTCTGGGGCACAGATGAGGATCTCAGTCTTATCTTCATTCAGCTGAAGAAAGCTCCCACCATCCAGGTTTTGATAGAGTCTAAGCAGGTGTGGAACAGCTGGGGGTAAAGTGTTTAAGAATTTATTAAAATGGAAACCAAGGAAGCAGCATAAACAAAGCCGAGTTCTTTCACCAGGGAGTCGGTGCGGGAAATCTGTGGACAGATGGAAGTTAGATCCAACTCGAGGAGGGAACAAGGAATCTGAATTGTGTGGAGGACTTACAGTCTGGAGAGGAGGGAACTAACTCGAGGGAGGAGTGGTCCGGTCTGGGCTGAGAGGGTTTTCCTGGAACTGAGATCCAAAAGGTGAGACGTGGAGGGAGCTGAGTTTGTGGAGATCCAGGGAGCCTAGGTGGGCAGCTGGAGGTGGTTCTGGCCAGGGAGCGGCTGAGACACAAGCAGGTTGGAGTTTCAGATGATAGGAGTTCCAGAGTTCAGCCAGTCAGAGATGAAGGTGGAGGTTTTATCTGGTGAACGAGAGCAGGAAGGGTAAATGCTAAATCCAAAATACATCTAAAATCTCAAACGGTCCAAAGAGCTTGAATATAATACTAAGAGGTGGCTTAGAAGGTACCCAGGTAGAGTAATCATCCAACGAAGTGTAGAAGTCTCTCAGCTGCTTAAATACACCTGGCCGGCTGATGAGCAGATCTGCTGCAGCTTGGTTAACCTCCAGACACACCCACCTGCAGAGGGAAAACTCAAGAGACAAGGAGTGACAGCAGGAATACACCTCAGACCGTCACACCCTCTTTAGCCAGCAATTACAGATTTACATTTTTCGATTTTTGAAATTCTTTCACTAGAGGATTTGCTTAATGTGATACCCAAATAGTTAACTTCTTTTTTTACCTCTATACCATCTATTGACACGGTGTCTAAATCATGTATGGCTAATGTTTCACATGTTCTCTTATTAACTGTGAGACCAGAAGCATCCGAGAACCTATTTCAAGCTATATTTATTCAGAGGTCCCTACTTTATTTTGACTAATTAATTTGACCCCCCCCCCCCCAACGGCATAAAATGGTACAGTCCACCTGGCCGAGGGGCGCGTGGCAGGCGAGGCCAGCTTCTCGCAGCAGTCAGACAGCAGAGGCTGCAGTAGAAATATGTCTGGGTCACGGAAAAGGAAAGAAAGAAAGGAGAAAGAGGACAGGCAGAAGAGAGGGCGTCAGTATGTCACACAGTTTTTTTCAAAGAAAGGTGGGTTTAGTTAGTGAGTGGTTAAATTCAACCTGTTTGTTAGCTTTGATATCCATAGTGAGAGGAATGTTGGTTACGTATTGTAACCCCAGATTCTATGAGTCTAGTCGCAGCCCTTAAGCTAGCTGCTATTGGAAGGATGATCTAGGCATCAGCCAATCATGAAGAGCTTAAATGTACGCCCACCAATGGTGGGCACCCCATGTGTGCGACTCCACTGTTCACCTCCGATGGCTCTTGGTCCTAACAGAACCAGTGGGGCCAGTGGCTTAAGGGCTGCGACTAGACTCATAGAATCTGGGGTTACAATACGTAACCAACGTTCTATTTTGTCTAGTCTTAGCCCTTAAGCTAACTGCTGTTGGAATAATGCACAGCTGGATGGGTTTACGCCACACTGGTTAGCACAACCAATGGACACACCCAATCAAATCTCCTCTAGTGGGGGACGTTCAGCCTCAGACCAGGCTTAAAGACTGAGGCAGACACGATAAGAGAGGGGCCCCCACTAAAAAACATAATCCACAAGAGGATGAAATCCATCTCAGCAAGGCCAATGAGGTGCCATAAGCATTCATTTAGCCTGCTGGGGTCCAAGCACTGAACGAGTGATGGAACCTGAAGACGCATCTCATAAATAATAACGAGTAAAGGGACATGGGGAAGCCCATGAAGCAGCCTGAAAAATGTCTTCCATCGACACACCACTGTGGAGCGCCATAGAAGAGGAAATCCCTCTGGCTGAGTGAGCCCGGAGTGTCTCAGGAGGATCCCGCCCTGATGATGTGTAAGCGAGTGAAATGGCGTCACACAGCCAGTGTGAAAGACGCTGGGTCGACAGCACTTGCCCAAGGGAAGAGTCTCTGTAGTGCACAAACAGGCTTTGTGAGTGGCAAATCCCTGAAGTGCGTGACACATATCGTGCGAGCGCGCGCACCGGGCAGAGAAGGTGGGAAGCCGCCTCCTCATCAGAATTATGGGGAGGAGGAAAAACTCCAGCCAATGAAATTGACCTGGATTTGAAGGAATTATTAATGTTTTTGGACACAAAGGCTGGGTTGGGCCATAAAACAGCAGACCCGCCATCTTCCCGGATCCTGAGGCATGCGGGAGCCACTGAGAGGGCGGTTAGGTCGCTCACTCTCTTGACTGATGCCAGCGCCAGCAGCAATGCAGTTTTAAGCGACAGGAACTTGAGTGAGACCTGGTCCAAGGGTTCAAATGAGGCTTCAGATAAGCCGCGCAGAACCAGCGTTAGGTCCCACTGAGGAAATAGCG